GCCTTGTGTTTTGGTTTTTTTATTTATGAGCTTATGTTCAGCTTGGCAATAAGTATTCTGTGGGAGCCACAGGTGCCCTGGTTTGTGATATAGTGTTTTCAGGCTTGTTTCTTTGAGAGACTCTGGGTACTTTAGTAGTTATGGACCAATTATTATGTTAATTTCCTGGCTTGCAGTTCCAATATCTCATGAGTAATATATAAAATTTAGTGTGCATGTCTGTACATGGCATGGATCTAGAGATTTGTTTTCCTATAGGCTACTTAACCCCATGCCCAAGTGAAGTGCAAGATAGAGGTAAGTTTCTTGTTATTTTTCATGGAGTTTTCTAGTATTTGAGCCTCCAGTACTTTGAGCTATATACAAGAGCTCAGTTTTAGCTTCCCATGTCTCGTGACCCTTCCCATCTGCTTTCCTCATGTATGTATTAGAATCCCAGCTCCTAGCCACCAATGCCTGTATCACATCTAAACTTCTTGAGGAACAGAATATCACCTTTCTCTGACTGCTTTGACTTTGTTTTCTCTTATTTCTGTCATCTGGAGGTAGTTCTTTCTTTCTTTTTTTTTTTTTTTTTTTTGAGACAGAATCTTGCTCTGTAACCCAGGTTAGAGTGCCATGGCATCATCATAGCTCACAGCAACATCAAACTCCTGGTGTCAAGCCATCCTCCTGCCTCAGCCTCCTGAGTAACTGGGACTATAGGCATACACCACCATACCCAGCTAATTTCTTTCTTTCTTTTTACCTTGGCTATATATCTTAACATTTTGTTTTTGTTATATTTAATCCAACATTTATGTCAGTTGTGATTAGGAAACCCTTTCCTAACAGGTTATTTGAATTTTCTCATTCATATTCCAACAGTATAGTATATACCTGTGAATTATGACCATTTAGCATTATTGAAGTCAGATTTATCAAAACTATGATTTTCTTATACTGCAGTGTATTGGTATGATGTTAGGTGTTAATGTAACTAAATCTAGGCTTAAAGTTCTCTCATTTCTTAAGATACCAAAAATTGGAAGCCCTGATATGATGACACTGTCATCTTTTCATCATATCCACTTCTCTCAACTGAGTTCCAGTTATTTCAAAGTTCTTCCTCTCCCCTCATGCTGCCAATCATATATGTACTCAAAAGACAATGTAAATATCTCTATCAGGTGACATACCTAACTTTTGTTCAGAGTCAGAAATGGTTGAAGTAACCACATCTTGTGATATCTACTCTTGTACTACTTTCCTTGTTCTTTTGTTCCTTTTTTACCTGATACTTTTTAATGATAAAAATTATAATGCCTTAGCTAAGAATCTGAGATTTATAATTTAGAAAGTAATTTTCTAGACTTTATTGAAATGTTAGCTTGTTTGTTCATTCAACAGAATTTTTTGTATGTTTTTTT